AGAACTTCTCGTTCAATGTCACTGAAGACTGGAGGCACAAGATTTATCAAATTAGTGTTATTTACATGCACTTTATGAGGAACAGTTCCTTTACTGTGTCCCAGATGAGTTACAGGTGCTTAAGAATGCTCCAAGCAATAATACATCTATTCACAAGATCAGGTAAGCAGTCTTCACATAAGCAGGGTTTGGAAAGAAGGGACCTTTTCAGAACTGGGCATTTCTTTTATTGATATATACACACACAGATACTGGTCCAGAATGTCCCCAGTAGCTTTTACCAGCAGCTTCTTTGTTATTTCTGCACTATATCATTTTCGTGTTTTGACTATTTATGTCTAGACCATAAAGTGGATTTTTAGGTTAACTGGCAAGTTTGGACCAGTGTCAACAGATCATTTTTTGTTAGTGCTTTTGTATGTCCTAGGCTTGAGTACACATAGGCCTTCACTGATGGTCAACAGAGCACAGCAGCGTTCAGTTTGTCCTCTGTGGGTGGTGCTGTGAAGTGGTTAGAATTAAACATGAGAGCAAGGTTACGGGCAAAGAAAAAAAATGTGGTATGTAGCATCAAATATTTCTGAACAGAGGGTATTAGTTGGTGAGTCAGAGGCTTCATTGCCATGGTCCATGTTTTGGGTGACTCCCATTCCAGGGAGCTCTGGCCTGTTGAAAGATCGGCTGCTGAAAGGTGTTTAGGTTAAGGTGACTCCACCATTGTTTATATTCAAAAATAAATAAATTAATACAAATTCATTAGACAAGAGGGAGTGCATATTCTTCTATCCATTGCAAGAACTTGTTAGCATTAAAAGCAGTGTTTTGGTGACCTGGACAGATGAAATACAAATTTATGGTGAGCCAACAGAAGTTAATAGGTTTTTGATAGATTGTATTTTTCAGTTGTGGTTAAGCAGGCTCTTTCACATAATCATTGCTTATGTTTTGTCTGTGCATAGAGGGTCTCAGCATGGATCAGGATCCTATTTTATTATCATAAAAACAGGTAAGAAAAGCCGAGAACTTGAGTCCTGTGTTTCTGGGCTACCTTTTCATGTTCCTGACAAACCCAAGCCTCGTGATGAATTTTCTACTGACACTAGTTGAAATATTTTTGAAGGGAAGAAGTCTTCTGGAAGGAAGGTAGTAGGCACTTACTGCCTTTGGATGGATGGGGTTGAGTGCATGGACCAGTTTCAGTCACATATTTAATGCTTCGCTGTGTGTGCATGTGTTACATGATCAGGTTGTTTCGTGAGCCAGGAAATACTTCCACACTTTCTAAATGAGCTATAAAGGGGTCCAACTCTTCAGTCAAAAACACATCAAATCTGTTTAATAAAAAAATATGGTAGCTAGACAGTACTTTTGTGCAATTTTACACCTTCTGTCTCAAATTAAAATATTTGGAGCTGTGATGTCTGTTCTTAAACCCCTACCCCCACCAGTAATTTTGCTCATATGTTATCCATAAATCTTGTCTGTTTTAAATGTTCCAACTAATAGTTAAGCAAAACGTTTAACATAATGATATGATTAACAGAGTCCATTTTTGGCAGCCTGCATGCTGTTTTTCTTAAGCAAGCATTCCAGTTTATCCTGATTAGAGATATAAAGGAATTATTCTTCTTTTGAGAGGTTTTTTTCCTTTTTTTTTTAATATGAAGATTTAGGGGTTCTGCATTCATTTTGCAGGAGTATAATGTGTGATTTGGCTGGATCTTTGAAGTGGCAGTATTGTAAATCTCCCAATCACCATTGCTCAATCTGTTTTAGCATTCATGTGCCTAATTTCTGTTTGTAATCTGATTACTGGCTTGAGCTGCTCCAGCTTGCAGCCTATTGCTATGCATTTACTGTACTCCTTGGGATGCGATAGCCTGACAGCTCCAGTCCTGTGCTATGAAAAATCTCTACGCGATATTGCTAAGACAGGCCTAGGGCTGTGGCTGGTTCAGAATTAGCTGCTATTGTAGTTTCTCTTTGCTGAATCCTTTGTTTGTGCAACCATGTTCAGAAATCCTTGGATCTCCAGCTATTTGGGAAATGTTAAATTCTCTGAGGAGCAAGGTAAGAGTTCCAAGTAGGTAGAAGAAAATGCCGTGCGTTTGTGTGTATTTAATCTCTCTCGTGTATGTGTATGCATGTGTAAATATTGTTTGACTGGATCCTCTGCAGCTACATTAGCTACTTTAGCAATCAGTATGCAGTTAGGCACCTAGGCTATTTCATTATTTCCTAAAGGGCACTTTTGAAAGATCCGATTAGATGGATCTTTTAATTAGCTTAGCTTGCCACCGACTTAGGCCCTTTAAATATACTAAGTAACACTGGAAGGTTGCTTCTACTTTTTTATATATTTAGCAATTTTAATTTCCTATGTATTAAACTATGGATAGTGGTTTTATCTGGTAGTTTGTACCTAAGAGAGAGGGGGGATAGGCTGAACAAATGGTTAAACTTGTGAGCAAGTTTGATTTATACTTCAGTAAATATACTTTTAATTTTAAATACAGATACTTAAAATCGTATTACTGTGGTTATGAGCATGTTTAGAATTCTTGAGTGAATAAGGGGCAAAATGCTGTTGCAAAATTTTTTTTCTGTGTCTCGGGTACTGTGAAGGTTGGTGTTTTTTTCTTTAAATTAACCATTGAATTAGGACTGTGTTAAACTGATGTTTCTCTTGTGGGCATATTTATTTTCTTTTGAAGCAGAGTTGTTTTACTTTTCTCCTGTGTTTGTATTTAATTTTAAGACTTCCATATTGTAGTAAGTTAGTTTTATTGGGCTTTAATCCTCCCACATGGGGTTTAATTTGAGCAGGAGGAAATACACAAATATCAAAACCACGTAACAGAATCTAACTGTCTGGTTGGGGTTTCTGTGTTTGCGGGGGGCAAGAGAGGAGCTTGCCACTGTAAAATACAGTGGTTTTAAGATGTTTTTGAGGCATTATGTATGAATGTTCCTGAATGCATTTAATGGACAGCAAGAGTCAGACCAGTTTGTGTGCCCCCCTCTTAGCAGCCCTTCTCCCTCCCTTCTCCCTGCGAAGCAATAAAAGCTACTTTCTTCATTTCTCATGTTCCCTCTTCAGTTTTGGCTAGGGGAGGGAGAATTTCTCTGTGGTCTACTTGTGGTTTTCATGGTGGACAGCTGTTTTACTGCCAAAAACCATAGGATGGGTTATATTCTGTTAGAGCAGCTATAAATTTAAGATATGCCTGGTTCTGATTAGCTCAGCTGATACTGAGCTGGACTTTTTAAGTTACTGCATACTCTTCTCACGGTAATGTAAATCCGGCCTTTTTAGAGGATACTTATGGCATGGAGTATTCTTTTTAATGTTGTAGTGTAAAGTCCAATGATTTATGTACCATTCATACTGTTTTTCTTACAATTCTCTGTTTTGGTGTAACAAGATGTTTCTGTGTAATCTGTGTGCTTTATTCTCCATTTACTTGGGAAAAGAAAATGAATGTCAACAAAAACAGGAAAAAGTTGCCTATTCAAGTTGAAGAATGCTATTAGCAAAGCTGCTTGAAATCTGCAGTGACTGGTAACAGATGCCTAAAAAAATGCCATTTTTGCACATTTTATGCCTCTTTTTCAAGCTATTAAAATGGTCTATTACTTTTTCTCCTTTTTTTTTTTTTTTTGTAATCTCTACCTGGAGAGGTGGTAGAAAGAAGTGAAAGAGAGAAGAAGAGTGAAAAGTTTTGAAAGGCATAGACAAAAGATACATTCTCTAAATTAAGGCCCATGTTGTCAGCTATAATAAGTTTCATTAATTGCTTTCTGCAAAAATGAGAAACATTCTACCTAGATATTAAAATATTTTGTATAAGCAAAAAGTATTTGTTAGCTCTTCTTTGAAATAGTTAAATCTCAGCTCTGTGGTAGAGTAAAAGGGAAGTTGCTGCTTTTGTATCGTTCTAAAGTCCAGATTGTGTAATATTCAGGTCTGTCTCTGAAAAATAAAGTGAACACTGTGTCAGTGACCAATTGTTTATTCATTTAGGGTCTTGGGGTAGCTGGCTTAACACAGATGGGAGCGGAAGGCAATTTTCCCTTTGAGAGTAAATTACTAGTAGCTTCATATGTTTTTCAGCAGTGATCACAGCCCAGGTGCTCCCCTGCTCCCTGGCCAGCACTTCTCTAAGGTCTCTTAATAGCATCCTTGTTGAACGGAGGAGGCCCATGCTTAGCGCACTGACCCCGCTCCCACTGGTCATTGCTTAGACCCTCTGATGATGCTCCTGACTGCATAAATGAAAAAGTTAAATCAGAGCAGAGAAAGGGGGGATTGCCCCATTGCTCGTTCTGATTCACAAAGGTTTGGAAGCTGGTGGCTTTGTAATACATACTTTTTGATTATAAGGGTGCATCTGACACAGTTTTGCTCTCACTGTAAACGTGTTCCTCTCTGAAAGTAAGCATGTTCAGCAGAACAAAATGAGAGCTTTCAAACAGTAGAAAACGTTCAGAAACATTTCTGTCCTAGATGGTGTAATACTGTTGTTGCAACATATCCTCAGCTGGGCATCTCCGACTTCTGCAGTGAATATGCAGTTTTATAGTATTGCTAGGATGCAGCCAAAAAAGGCTTTTGCTGCTTGCAGCATTTCCCATTTGTGTAGTGCTTCATAAACATGTTTACCACCCGTTTTATAAGATGGGAAACTGAGTCAAGGAGTTTAAATGATAACCCCAGGGTGCAGAGCAACACCATGAATACTGGGATTAGAACATGGCAGGTCCATAAAGTGTTGATGCTTCTGATATGTTTAATGTTTGTACTCATTTTTGCAAGGTTTTGGTTTATCACCATCTTGGACATGCCAGCTTATGCTCCTTTGACTAGAGAGAAGGCCTTTGTACAGTCTTTTCCAGTGGAAAAGGACTATGATTGGAGACTATAACCTTGTTTCCTAAAAGCTCCCCATTTATTAAAGCATCTTCATTATAGTGTGGGTTTTTTTTCATTTCACAGATTTTGACAAAGAAAACTCAGTCAGATTTAAACCATCACGATTACTCCAAAGGAAGAGAGCATTAAGGTAAGGTCAATTTTTTCTTGCCCAGCGAAGATGACTGGTTGCATGATTGTAACTTGCACTCATTGCTTGAATTTAAATTTATTCTTTTGTCAGGGAAAATGATTATTGGTCCTCTTGCAGGACCAAGCTTTGGCATAAAGCAGATGCTCTGAACAGGTATTGAAAACACCAACTGGCTCCTAAGTAATGTGAAAATTTATAGTTGGCATTGCTATGGGAGTAGTCCCGCTCAGCACTGAGCCTTGTGCCACTGCAGTGCCCATTTTTCCTTGCATGGCACAGACACAGTACAGACAGTTTTACTGAACCAGCTTGGAAAACTCATCTGTGTGAAAAGGAAGGTGGCTGAAGTGGGTGAATTGATTGTAGAACCATGCCAAGGGCTTGGTCATCACATGGGAGGGGGTCACCTTGGGGATGAATGGAGAGGTCATGTTGCTGCTCCCTTGCAGGGCCATGCTGCCTCATGCCTGCAGTTTCAGGGCACAGTTCCACAAGGCTGAGTAAGGGGGTACAGTTTACAAGTTGGCAGGGCACGTTCCCTCTCTCTTCTCATCCTCACTCCCACTGCTTTTTGGTGTGTACCTTTGTGCTTGCTGGACTCATTCATAATGGGGCAGAGCCGGGAAGCTGGAAGCTGACTCTTCCCCAAACAGCCAGCTGTTTCGTTGGCTCAGCTGGACGAGAATCCAGCAGCCTTAGGCACTCATGCTTATATTTGTAAGCCTCTTTTCGGTCAATGCACGCTTTCTGGAGCACGTCTGATTCCCCGCCATGTTGTTTTTAGGTACTGGAGAGAGATGGAGAGAATAGGTGTAAAAGATGCACTGTGTTTTGGAAGGCAAATAGGGGAAAGTAGAAATGGGAGTAGTAGAGAAGGATGTGACTGTAGAATGGACCTTTCATATAGGAGTCCAGGGAAGAAAATTATCTTGTAGGTAGAGAAAAAGAGGAAAAACAAACTCCAAGCACCTAACTGGCAGATATACAAGTGGATTTTCATGCATGTTGTTTCAATGAGAAAATCTCAGCATATCCCATAGCTTTAATCCAGATGGCAGGGCAGTATTACCAGTGGCATTTGAATCAAACTTTTGCTCGCTTTTGGGCATGTAACTAGGTTAGTGGGACAGCTATTTAGAAATTGTATGCTGCTGCAGCAGATGAAGTCTTAGCCTGCAATCCCTAATGTATAGAAGTAGCCCACACTTACTGTGGAAGTTGCAAGAGCAGTATAACTACTGAGTCTGTCAAATACTCTACTAATGCCACATTATACATTGGTTTTAAAGTAAAATTATAGAGGTTGTGAAATACTGTTGCTTGTGTTTTTAATAGGAATCTTATGAATTCCTGAACACTGAAGAGTATAATGAGTTCATTAGGAACCTGAGGCCAAACCACACGCAAATCCTGTGCGAAACAAACTTGTGGGACCTCATGCTGTTGATTGCTTTTCATGATCCGTGGTCACAGGCTATATTTCAGGCAAGCAAAGGAAGAGAAGTTCGTCTTTCAGTATCCAGATTTAACAGGGACTTCAAAAAGAAAGAATTCTTGCAAACTTCTAAACCATTTTTTTCATATAGAGAAATGCGAGTATGCCTTTAATTATTTCAATCATGAAGTGCAGAAACTCCTGGTGCTGCTGCTTGGAATCTTCACCTAGACTTGTAGCATGACTCGAGAAATTAAGCAAGGGCAAGGGCTTCTGGAACAGGGTTGTGGATATGTCTGAAGGTACAGTGTACTTGGCAGTCCAAATTTGACTCTGCTTAAGCAATTAAATTGTTGCTGCAACTGCTCCTTTAGCATGGAAACTACTAAAGTAGGGAGATATCTTGATAGAACCCTTTAAAGAAAAAGGGAAGTCTTGGTGAGGAATTACTTATAAGCATATATTTTTTTAAACCCTCATGAGTACCGTCCTGTGCTTTGGTGCTTTTTTTTCTTTTTACTGTTTGGAATTGCTTTAACATCATTCCAACTCAATTTAGATTCCTAATGAATGTTCTTGTTGAATACCATGACATGTCCTAAATATGCCTGCTTTCATTTTTAGAACTAGTTTTATGTATGTATCTATAAATACCCAATTATTTGGCTTGACTGTATCATCTTCAGAGCTGTGCTTTGTCTCTGAATTCTCTGTGCAAGGTAAAGCAATGCAATTGATACAGGTTTAAAACATTTTGTGTTTCTAATGTGCAAATATTTTAAATAAGCAATGCCACTTGGAGCTTTACAAGAGATGGCAAAAATGCCTCTGAAGAGGAAAAACTCCTCCATTGTGGTTAAAATAGTCAGTATATGAAAACAGTTAATTGTTTAAAAATAACCAAGTAAACAGAAGTTGACATCTGTCCAGAGGGAAATGGAAGTCAAGGCATAAGGGAAACTGTGAATTGACTTTCACAAAGCATATAACCTGTGGTGCCACATAGCCCAGCAAGGGTTAAGCTTAAGAAGTTTCTGGTTATTGAAAGAATTTTAATGAAATCTGCCGGTGAGCAAAGGTTGGAAGCCACCCTCAGTACAAAGAAGGAGTGAGCTCACATATAGGAAGAACTGGATGACCTTGAGTAGTAATAGAAAAAGGATGTAATGTAATAATATTAAGTGCACAGTTGTGCACTGGGGGCTGATAAATTTTTCTGTCACTTGCAGCTGATGAAAGCAAAGCTGTAGCATATTAATTTCTTATGTGGGATTGAGCAACCAACACAGTGTAGTTATAAAAAGGCAAATATGTTGTAGATCCTAGCATTCATCTGGCTAGTAATATAGTAATGCTTTCTCTGTTAAAATTCCTATTTTTATAAGACCCAGGTCTGGAATCAAGACTATCCAATTCTGGTCACCATATACAAAGTAAATTACTTAAAACTGGAATGGGTAGAGCACATTTGTACATATAATTAATGAAACTGAGAGCCTGTCTTGAGGAAGCTGAGTAGATGTAGATAACTTCTGTTAAGAAAAATAAGGAGGGTAACCAACAACACTGGCACAAGAACAAATGGATGGAAACCCAGTGAAAGACATTTAGAGGGCTTTTGGAAGGTCTCCAGCTTCAGAGAGTCGTAGAGTCAGAATCATTTGGGTTGGAAAAGACTTTTGAGATCATCGAGCCCAACCGTTAACCTAGCACTGCCAAGTCCACCACTAAACCAAGACTCTAAGCAGTGCGGGGGTCAAAATTGAACACACTATTCGAGATGTGTCCTCACCAGTGCAGAGTATGGGGAGACAAGCACTCCACTAGACACTGGAACTCCCTGGAGGTTGGAGGAAGGGGCAGGAGTGAACCTGACTTGTTTACATTATTTAAGAGTTTGTTGAGAATCCATAAGCAATCCAATAATACCGTTCTTCTTAGGACCAGCAGACTAATGCCACTCCTGATTCTTTATGATTTTACCCTTGGAAGTTTGTGTGGGACTGAGGCATAGTTGTGGATGTTAGTGCACAGTAAACATAAGGATTTTGCTGTATGAGGAATGCTTTTTTTTTTTTTTTAATCTAGTGAGAGTCTCTCCATCTAGGCATTCTCCAGAAGCTGTGTCTTTGAGAAAATAACATATTGTGAGGCTATTAAAAAGCACAGGTGTTTGCAATGCGAGATTAGGCATATAGAAACATGCAGTTAACTGTCTGAGTCTCTGCCCAGTCTCAGATGACACATGCACCCATTTACTTGTGGCTACTGTGTGCTATTTTCTACTTTTATGTTGTTTTTTGTTTAGTTCCATTAAGGTGTTTTTGCCCTGTAAGGATGTACAGTTGTCTGTAACAGACATCTTATGGCAGCTCTTCATCTTCTGTTTGCTGTTTTCTGTAGTGGCTAACATTGCTTTTCTTGGCAGTACATGGAATAATTTCTCTAAGTGCTTTTGCTGGAGATGATTTGCAGCAGGTGGCATGGTGCCTAAATGTGATACAGCCCAGTTTCTATATTGTCATTTCAAGGGTTTTATTCTCTCCTCAATGTCTTCATACAAAGGAATATTATTTATACATGATAAAGAAGCAAATATTTCTTGGAGTTGATGTAAAGTGTTATTAGTTGTTTTATGTTAAAACTCTTCAATGAGAGATGCTCTTCTGGAATAGTGAGTACAGAATTATTTTTTTTACTACTTTTTCTTTTCTCACCAAATACCCCTGATGAAAAGGTATTCAATTATTTAAAAGGCCATTTAAAAACTGTCCTATGGAACGATTTTTCCAACAGTAAGACTATGCAGTTTGTGTTATCAGAATGACAGTAAATTGTATGGCACATCACTACTATGGTTGAATGAAGAGCTTAGTATAACTGTGGAGATTTGTATCTGTTTTACATATTTACACAGTTTACTAAAGGTTTTAAGACTAGTATAAGTTTTCTTATGCCTAGTTGGGATAGTTTAGGAATCATAGTAGCTGAATACAGCAGTTCTTTCTGTATTTTTAATAACTTGAGAGAAAATCTCGCTTTCTTTACCCACAAGGAAGAACATCTCCAAAAAAGCGTCTGTGGAGAGTTTCCATCTACTTTAGACCATTACGACACTTACATCTTAAATTTTTTAAAAAATGTATATTTAATGAGCATATTTTAATAAAGATTTGGCTCATCTAAGTGGGCCTTTTGCTGTTTTGAAAAGACAAGGTATAAGATGAAATGATCTACTGGTCATATTAGTATATTATAAGCCATATAAGATCCAGGGATCAGTGCAGTAACAACAGTAGGACAGTCATGCACAAGGCTTCTAGTCAACGTGTATGTACAGTACTGCATTTGAATGGAGTATGTTTTAATATTTATGGAGAATGGTTCAATATAGATTATTTCAATTGCAATTGCTAGTAGAGCGTTTTGAAGTCAGTCTCCGGTCGGTAATTTAATGCAAAAATGTGTCACAGTCAGTTCCAAACAAGTTTCAAATTATGTTAAGTTTGGCTTTGTGAGTTTCCTGAGGTTATTTCTTATTTCATTTCTATGGAAAATATTTTCTTTGTTATCTCTGTTAGACTATCTTGCAGTAAATTGGTTACATCTTGGCTTTATTTGATTTGTAGCAGAAACATCCACAGTTCTGTAAACCAGATGTTGCTTTCAGTTTTCAGAAGGAGTTCTCATTTGAAGATAAAGAAGAACTTGCAAAGAGCACAAAGGATATTGATGCTAACCTCTTAGCAGTACTTCCAAAAGGTAGGTAAGGGAGACATATTATGAACACAAGTGGTAATTTAACAGCATGTGAAATTTAGTCTATTCTAATGCAACACACTATGAAAATCACTTAGGCATAGATGTTTTGTAAATTAGTTTTCTTTTCCTTGTGAAGTATGTATAGGGGATGAAACAGGGGATGAACCACGATGGTTTTTTACAAAGCTTTGTTACATCCTTGCTTCATAAAGTTCAGCTTTGTTTACCTAGATTTCAGTAGGTTAGGAAGTAGTTGAAATTCAAGACTTCAGAGAGATTTCTTTGTCCAGTTATACTAATACTGAATTCAAAGGTACTAACTTGGCTTGTAGTCATAGCTCTTTCCAGTCCCCTTCAGTGGCTGGCAGAATCACTGTGCTTACATGACAGACTGACTGCACACTGAATTTTAGTCTTGCATGCTAAAGGACAGATGCTACAAATGAGGTCTGAGATTTTTTTTTTTTAAACTTCTGTCTTTGTATGAGTAAATTCTAAAGAGAATAGCAGTTCCATCTTTCTCTTTTGATGCAGCCGAGGTAGAGGTGGGAATTAATTCTGAATTATTTAGAGGAAATCACAATCTACTGGAAATAATTCTTGACCAGTGAAGGATGTCATTTGACTGAAGAGCTGCATGCAACTGGCATAAAGATGTTCCCTTTGCTCAGCAATGTTGTGTCTCAGAGCTTCAATTAAAATTGTGTTTGTGTTCTGGAACTGGCTTGGTCTTTTGGTGTCATTTGTTGCAGAGTTCCTTTAGAAAGGAGCCCTTCTTCCAACATAACATTTAAGTGCTATTTAAGTGATGTGCTTGCTTTTATAACATAATCATTACACATGTTCAGAAAGAGACTTCATTGACACAATGATGGAATATATCCATATACAATACAGACTTTCT